GGGGGTGGGGAGCGGGCACTGGAGGGACTGGTGCATTAACACTGCCCTCAGTTGAGAACCACTGCTTTAGGGAAGGAGACCCAGGATCCTATGAGGATAATTACGGGGAGAAGAGGCTCGTCCACGAGGCCCTGAAAGGCAGGGGAGGTGGCTGTGCCATCCCTTCTTACTCACGCTTACCCTTCCTCGATGGCACAGACCTGCCCTCCCCCTCTGGAGCTCGCCTGTCTTCTGCCCCTGCCGCTGTGGGCCCTGCCCACGTACCTCCTGCTGTGGCGTGCACGCAACCCCGGCAGTCCTCCCGCGCCACACGCTGAGGGGCTAAAGGATCTGCTGGCTCCACAGGCACTCACACAGGGCTGTGCATATTACGGTGCGTGATCTTTGTTGAATGCACCCCTAAAACCAGGCAGGCACACACGCTTGCACCACGCGACCACCACCAGCCAAGAGCCAGCGGCCCGGCCCCGGGGAAGGGGCTGCCCGCAGGGAAAGCTTCCCGCAGCAGCTTACACGCCATGCCCGAGTCAGCCTCAAACCCAGGGGTGCTCCTCTCCGTATCTAAGAAACTGCAAGCCTGCGCTGTGGTCTGCATCTCCCCCTTTGGCGCAGTCTACAGATGTTCCTGAAGGACACGGGCCGTGCCACTTTCTTTACCTGTGGCATCTGAACTGCACTACACTCGGAGCTTACGCTGCTGGACTATGAAAGCCAGAGCAACGGCGTGAGCCTGAGGGCGGGGCTCACTGTCTCCAGCTGAACGGTTTTGAGGTCTTAGATACCCATAAGAAAAACCCTGCCAGTTTCTTTTCCAAGAAACAAAAAATACTTAATTGGGTATGTATTTTAAAAAGAGAAAAACTCATTTAGAAATGACCTACTTCATTCTTATGAAGGGATTTCTAAGTGTTTCTGAATTTGGCCCTACAGCTATTCATTTCTCATTCTAAGGTGATTTTAACTTTTTAATTGATGGTGGTCGCACACACAGTATGGCCTGCAGGTTGGGCGCCTCCTGGCCTAAGCATTACACAAGCGCTGTGAAGGGTGTTCGCACCGAGTGCTGGGCTCTGTGGGGCCCAGGGCGAGCCTCTGACCGGGCAACGAGACAGAAGCAGCGGTGCGCCCGCAACCAGGGAGGGGAGCACCGCACTCTCCTGTGGTGATGAGGGAAAAGCTCATCGCACTGCAGACGGGCGAAAGCCGTCACCAAGCGCAGAAACAGGTAAGTCCAAGTGCGCCTGACACACGAGGCCAACTAACTTCAGAAAGTCCGGAGCGAGCCGAACGCCCCCGCCCCTCGGGCCGGCTTTCCTTCGGCTCTGGCTTCTCGGGGGAGCCTGTACGAACATTCTTACCCAGCAATGGCCGGCAGTCTCTGTGTGCTGACAGAGGGCTGCAGGGACAATGTCAATCATGCAGTTTGCCCCCCATGACAGCACAGACCTTCACGAATGAAACCACGTGGACAACCTGACATGATAAAGAAAAAACAGAAAAGGGAGAAAGGAGGGGTACCTGCCAACGGCAATGCCTGGTCAACGTCCCTGACGGAGAGCAAGGCACCAAAGACGCTAAGAGCAGGTCACACCGAGGCTCCCCGTGGCTCCCGGCCACTTCTACCCTGGGTGGGTTTGTTTTTAATTTGGAAAAAGGTTCTAATGCTATTAATGCCCTTATATGCTTGTAAGGCCATAACAGCGCCGACATGGCAAACTGACAGCAAGCACTCCTTTCAGTGCAGCAGAGCCTGCACAGCCGCCCCCCACGAAGCTGCCTTCACGCGGAGGCCCCTGCGCACAGGACGGGGAGGACCGGCGCCGGCTGCTCCCGCCCACCCCCGCTGCGACTCCGAGGGGGCAACAGTGATGCAGACTGGGTGCACAGACCCTTTCGGGGGTCTCCAGGACGAAGCTGTAACCTGCTTTGAGGGAGCTGGGTGACTGGGAGCTCAAGGACAGTCTGCCTCCCTAACACGGGGAACTGTGATAGTCCTGGTTACAGAAGATCAACGGTAACAATGGAACACTTTCTTCAGAGAAACCAGAAATCAACTATGGCCTTTTGAGTTTAAAAATATTTTTCTACTGCATTTGTACATTTCCTTGTAATGAAACTCTGACCTGGGGAATGGGTTTCAGTTATTGCATTTGCCTGGGAGAGAAGAAATAGATGACTGTGGGCTGCTGCTGCTGCTTCTTCAAGCTCAGGCTTTATGTTACTGTCATTGGATTTAGCTGTTGAAGCTTTTAAGGCTAATGGTGGCTGTAATATACCAAAGAGTGCAAGAGAGAAGAGTGGAAATTAATTTAGCTGCACATTTGTCAAGGTTCAGTTTGGAAAATGTTGTAGGAACCGATCCAAGTCTAGGAAGCCTGGACCTTTACATGAGACACAGAACCATTCAGCTCATAACCTTTAGTCTGTTTGGAGAAAGGAGCGAATGTTAAATTCCACAGGTGTACTTTCTGGGCGAGATAAACGTATGTAAGACTGCCTGTTAAGACAGTAAGCCTAGAAGATCACACCCACTAAGGCAGCAGATTCTCCAGTGTTGTTTTAGTGGCGATTTTCCTTGAGCTGCTCTTGGGCATGCCAGTGAGGACCTGGGAATTCATGACCACAAGTGCATTTGTGTGCACAGAAGGTTCAACTGCTGACACCAGGCAGGAGCTACAGTGTGCCTGTGAGATCACCTTGCATGACCTTGAACTGAGAAGCCAGGAGCAGAGTGAGTCCAGGAGCAGAGAGAGTGAAGCCAGGACAAGGTCCTATCATAGATGCCTTTGGTGGACAGGAATACGACACTGTTTATTTAAAATGTCCTCTTAAGTGGGGTGTCTACAGTCTGAGCTGACAGCAGCGAATAGGAGCTGCTGGAGGACATAAGACCAGCTGGGGTCGGGGTGAAGAGGTAAGAGCTGGGCCCGCAGCGCCTCTGCCAGGCTGCTGAGACTGGCTGGGGGGTTGGTTTAGGGCGCAGAAGACAGGCCTTAGAGAAAGAAAAAGCCTAAGCTGGAGAGAGGCCAGCCCCAAATGGAAAGTGTTGTTCTACATGAAAGAGAGCCATGGTGTCTGTACTGTGAGCGAGGCCTCAACTGCCTTGAACTGCAACCCTGGCTAGCTCTCCACGGAACCAGCTACAGGAGAGCTAATAAAGGCTGGCGCACCCTGGGCAACCCTACAAAGACGGAACGGAATGGATGGCTGCAGATGCTCCGCAAGGGACGGGGCTCCACGTGCGGGCCAGTGGAGATCGGGCGAAGGAACTGACACCCACACCCACAGGGCGGCCCAGGGGACTGGAAACCTGGTGACACGCGTGCAGGCCTAAGGAGGCACACCGCCCAGACGAGGGGTAAGGCCGGCCAATGACTGGGGCGGAGGACGGGCGGCTGGCAGCACAGCTGCTCTGGGGACCGGAGTTAGGAAGGGGCCCCTTCACTGTGCTTGCCGATGGTCTAGACGGGGAGGATCCACCCACTCTGCGGACAAACTGAGTTTACTGAGACGCAGAGGAGCCAAAAAGCAAAACAAGCTAAAGCAGAAATACACACGGACAAGAATTTAGGAAGCAGCCTCCATAGAGCTGAGTTCAGAGTGAGACATAAAGACCAACTGATGGGTTTTCAGAAGATCTTAAGTTAAGGCACCGATGTTTTCATAACCGACGTTCGAAAACATCCTCACTAGTGGCGTCAAGATCTCTCTGTTCCCCTGCCCGCTGCGAAGGTGAAGAAACCCGAGTCCGGATGAGACTCCTCCTTCCGTAAATACTCTGCCTGCCATCACGTCTCCCTGACTCCTGTGAAAACTGAAGTTGTCTCCAGAAAGTCATCGCAAGTGATGGCGCCACACCTAGGGTGGTGAAGAGGGTTTCCCCAGGAAGACGGGGGGATGACCGCGCAGTGCCTTTAGGAAAGCCCGGCGTGGGGGCCGCACACCCGGGCGCGCGGCTCAGAGGCGGGCCTTGCGGTCTCAGCAGACAGCAGAATGGAAGAGGAAGTTACTTTTTAAAGAGGGGTTTTCCTCACAGAATAATCGTTTGACATGTTTCTGTGTAAACAGTGGGTGGCGAAGGCCTTACCTACGGAAATCCCGCGTGTCTAGGCGACAGGATGCGCCGTGACCCTTTGTTCCTGGCGGACAGGGGACTCCGGCTCCCACACGGCACCGCCGAGCAGTACGAGGGCCGCGGGAGCCCAGGGAGGGGGGTGGCGCGCCTCCCCCAGTGACAGTCGGACGGGAGGCAGCGGTCACGGGCGCCCGCGCGTCAGTGCAGAGGTAACGCGGCGGGCGCAGCGGCCGCGGCCGCCTCTCGCCCTCCACGGTTCACGGGGCCGCGGCACACGCAGGGCCTCCCTCCGATGTCTTGGGGCGGCCCAAACGGGCAGCCGCGGGGTCAGCAGGAGGATGGCGCTGCCCTGGGGACATGGCCCACGCGGGCACGGTAAAGGGGTGTCTCCCTTCGCGTGGGTAAGATGAAGGCGAGGCGAGAAGACCCAGGCCAGGATACTTACCGCGCCGGGCGCCCTCTCCCTAGCGCTGCGCTTAAACAAAGACGCCGCCAAGAGTTCTCTCGAATGAGCTGTAAATGCTCGAATGCTAAAGATTTTCTGAAGTCCTCAAGATTCAACCCGAGGACACAGTCTTTGAAGTGGTAAAATCAAGGGGCAGTGACACCCGAGGACTTCAGGGAGCGCAGGCCTCCTTATACATACCGGAAACAACACACATTCAGGACCGTTCCATGGCAATGAAGGCACCGTACCTGTGATGATGGTAGGGATGGTGGTGGTGGTGGTGGTGGTGGTGGTGGTTGTTGTGGGAGGAGGGATAGTTGTGGGGGGATCTGGATAAAAAAAAAAAAGGAAAATCAAACCCACAATGCTGAACACAACAATGATCAGTAATGACGAGCAGAGGCGTGAGGACGCGGAGATGTTTGTCCGACGGCTCCCTCTGAAAACCAGAAGTCTCCCTCCAAAGATTTATGACTTTGAATTCATCCCAAAGCCTTGGTTGGAAGAGCTGAGAAAGGAGAGACTTGTATTAATGAAGTGAACGAGCGATGAGATGTGAAGGAGAGAAGGGAGGAAAAATAAAAACACGGGACACCCCCAACCTGGTCCAACTTCAAAGGTGAGTTAAACCAACTCAGCACCCGAGGGTGGGCGGTTGTCATTTCATTTTATACTTCGACAGACGGGAGGAAGGCGGAGGTGGCGCCACTCTATCTAAAGGGCTCCTAAGGCCAAGGGCGAGGGTGCTCCCGCTCCCGGGCTGCAGGACCGTTAACTCCACTATTCTGCACCACACAGCCCAGCAGGAGGCAAGGCTGCTTCCTCTGTCTCCTTCTATACAAAGAAGAGAGAATGTCACTGCTAAATATCAAGGTCCAGGCGCGAGAGGTTTTACTGAGATTCTATTTTTTTAAAGTCAATAAAATTTTACAACTTATCAATATTAATAAGTTCATTGCCTTTGCTCATGTTAAAAGCTTGACCCAAGTGGACGACGGTGATAAAACTGAAAGAACGTTTTCCGTCTTGTAAACAAGAGAACTAAGTATAAATGAGGCTTGACCCTCAAAATCAGGAATCCCAAAGGGGTCCTCTGTCAGATGCTTGATCACCGTATATCCTTCTATCATCTCTGAAATTATTTGGGGGAAAAGGGAAGGGCAAATATGAAAGAGCAAAAAATTCTAAGCCCAGATGATCAAACCGAATGTGTTAACTGTCAGCAAGACTTTGAACTGAGCGATCACTCTGCTGTAATAGAGCATAAGATGACTTGAAGGCTTTTGATTTTAAATTTTACCTAAAGCACGTCAATTTTTTTCTCCCTGACACATCTGGTGTCCTTTAATCTCCAAGTGAGCTCTCAGATTGTCTAATTAATACATCAAAACTTTAATTATATACTGCACCTTTATTGGGTTTCGTACAACTTCCTGAAAGTTTATGAAAACATTACCTTAGTTCTTGGTTGTAAGTTCTGCTTAAAATGATCCCTGCTATCGGTCAGTAATCTGGGGTTTATGTCCCTCACAGACTTCTTCTTTCAGACATACACAAATGTACGAATGTGACAGTGAGGAACAACAGTGAATTGTTCCATTTCACAGGACTATTTGTGTAAGCTGTTGGAATTTAAGCTATTGTTTAAAGCAGTCTCACACGAGGCTAGAGGAGTACAGTAAAAACAAACAAAACAAACTAAAACCTCACTCTCCTCCAGGAAGTAGAAACCATTAAATTGGTAATTTCAAACTACCTTTTAAGAACAGGCAGTGTGCTCAGTCCTGCTCCTTAGACACTTTCTCACAGGCCCACAGGTGGGGAAGCATTTTGTGACCTGGCGGATCCCCTGCATGCACCTGGGCCCTGCTGCATGCGCAGGTCAGACACAGGTGAGCAAGGCGCACCGGCCCGGAGCCGAGCCCTGGAGACTTCCTGCTCCCTCCAGTCCCAACGCAACTGTACCCAGACGGGCTTGCTGCCCATCGTGTGGGCAGCTAATGTGTTTTTTCTGGGCTGGTTCAGCCACGATATTTATCACCGAATGGGACCACCTGTATCCGGGAGACTCCCCTGATACACAGCACTGCTACTTCTGTACCTAACTGTGAAAGCATATGCATAAATATGTGATGTTCACAATACAACCAAAGAAGACCTGAAGGTGATTTGAAAATACAGTTGGTTATAAACAAGGACTGGACTATACTAATTAGGGCAGAGACTTCAGGTCACCAGTTCTTTCCATGTTGTGAACAATCACACATTTTCAATTATTTTCATCACTGCTGGGGAAAACGTTGTCCTTCACATCTGGCTCCAGCAACCTACATGAATTAGATTTTGTTAACAGGTAAAACTTCAATGCTCAGATCATTTCCTGCAACCAGAGTAATATGAGGTCACTATTTAAAAAATGCAGAGTTAGAGCTAATGAGCTGGGCTTGACACCCAGAAGCTAACAGAACAAAACAAACTGGGGCTCAGGCACGAAGTAGCTAGATTCTCGAGGTATAGAAGTTACTTCCAGAGAATTAAACGTTGTAAAGGCATGTTAACTCTTAGTTCATAAGGTACTTTGAAAGTTAATGTAGTAGTACGGTAAATCAGCTTGAAAAGAAAATCTATTCACCATCTTCTCAGATTGCTAGAATATTTTACCAATAGACTAGCAGTGGCTCAGGTGAGTATTCTAGTCTGCTTCCCAAGGCCTGCGAGGAGCATAGTTGGGGAGAGAGGTGGTACAGTGCAGATCCAGCAAGTCCCTTGTCAGGACAAGGCCCTATCTTGCGTGAGAGATATGTGTATGAGACGTGCTTATCTCACATGCAGGTCTCTATGTGCCCTGGCTTTCCAATAATGCACTCGGGCCCAGTGAGTTAATTCCAGAAGAGCAATCTTATATTGGAGGGAGCTGTTCTACTGGAAAGCAGTGAGAATAAAAGGAACTACAAAGAAAGATAGAAATTTCATTGTGGACTTTGGAGTCAAAGTATTGTGGCTCTGACTTAGTAACCTTGTGAACTTGGACAAGTCCTGTGACCTTTCTAAGGCTAGTTTTATTATCTGTAAAATGGAATGATGACAAGGTTCACCTCCTGATGTTACTGTGGGGATCAGATGGACCATGCATGTAAAGCAGTCAGTCATGCCAGGGCGTGGAACAAAGTGAGCACTCAATAAATACTAGCCATGAGCTAGTATCCAAAACTATTCAAATACGGCTGACCACCAAATCCATAAAGTGTTTCCCATCTAGGGATGTAGGAACAGCAGGTACAATAAATCAACAGTGTCTTTCTAGGTATTTCAGTCGTCTGAATCAAGGAAGCATATAATAGACTGGTGGAAATTTGTCACTGCTTTTTAAAATCTGTTGTGGACAGAGAGAGAGAGCGGAACGAGTCTGTAAACCTGGGTAACAGCAATGCCGGGATCACATGAGGTTCAACCCTTGATGGACAGAGCGCAGAGGGGTGAGTGTAGAAGCAAAAGGGAGGGGTTCACCTTCCACCCCTTCCATCGGCTCACTGTGGACAGTCCGAGGAACAGAGTAGCTCTGTGGATTGTCACCTAGAAGAGGGGCATCCCTTCCCACCTACGCGGAAAAGTCAGTTCCTTCACTCATCTCTTTAACTACTGGGGAAAAGTAATGCTACTGTGTGCAGACCACAGGCCACACGGCCGTGAGCAAAGAAAACAGACCTCGGAAGCCCACTAACAGGTGATTAGAGGTGACCCTTTAATTTTGCATTATGCTAAGAAAAAAACCACCTCAGCTATAGGCAAGGTGTCATTTTAATATCCGCGCAGGCACAGTGTAAAGCATGCTTCCATTTCCAACAAGAGCGTGATTCCCTACTCTTCAAAAGAGCAGTGGCCAGGGCCTAAGACTATGCTGTGGGTATCCCACACACGTGTGCGTGCGTGTGTTCCTGAGTGTGGGGTTAGGAAGAAATGCGCTCACATGTTCATCTGTTTCTAAGACACTGAAATCTTCATGCCTGTAGTGACTCATTCTGTGTCATGTCAGTTTATGGCTATTTTTCCTGGTATAAAACTAACCAAGAGACTTCCATTGAACAGAAGAGTCTCGACTTCTCATCATAAGGCTAGAGAGGCAGTGCGCAGCCTCAACTAAGTAGAAAATATTCACCACACACAAAATTCACAGTAAGATATAAATGGGAAAAAGTTTTAAAATGCCTGGCACACGGTGGATGCTCAATAAAATTTGTTTATTAGAGAATGAAGTTTATAATATGCTTTAAAAATCCTTTAAAAAGATATTAAGAAAGCAGACAAATTTTTAAAAATTGTGTCTAGAGCAGTATCTATCGATTGTTAATGTAGCTACCAAGGACCTTCTATTTTTTCCATGTATTTACTGCCTCGCAACATCTTCTTGTAATGTAATAGCTTCATGCTGGAAATAGGATAGTTCTGCTCATCAAAGCAGGAGAAAGGCTAGCCCAGGTATCATAGGAAAATACCACTGGGAATAAACTTTCTAAGCTGAAAAGCCATTAATTGGTAAGGCTGGATTTTGCAGTCATTATTTCTCACATAATCTCCATACCGTGTGCCTGGGGACACAGCTTCCCTGCTCAGCACAGCCAGACCCTGTGATCTGCCGGGAAGCCCTGATTAGAGAAGAGAGGGGAAGTCAGGGCCCTCCCAGGGGAGACTCTGGGCCCACCCAGGCCAGGCTTCCTCGAGCTCTCGAAGGAAACAATGGGTCTCTGGTTTCTGACTTGACCTAAGGCTGTGGGAGTGAGCCGCGAGCAGGGCAGGAGGGCCGAGTCTCACCTACCGTATACGTACAGCATGTAGTCCGAGTGGGCCTTCCCCACCACGTTTGAGGCCTCGCAGCGGTACGTCCCGTTATCTGTTTTGTTCAGGTTGTTGATGAAGAGGTTGGGCCCGGACAGCACGGCGTGCTGGGGCATTTCGTCATCGACTCTCACCCAGCTCACCATGACGGGCCTGCGGGGGAGAGGGCAGGAGACAGCCGTTACCCGCCCGCACGGCCGAGCGGCACAGTCACACGCAGGGCGACACAATTAGAGGGCTTGCCGTGGATAGTTGAGGCTCACAGAGTTACAGCTGTGAAGTCTCCAAAAAATTTGTTGGAATAGAATTTTCTTTAAACATTATCAGGTGTTGAAAAACTTTCAACACACGGCAAGCGGGAGTCTCATTTCCAATTTACCTTCAACAAATCAGCAAATAACCAATGCACCCTATTTTTGCGCCCTGCCGTGTGGTTTCACACCAGTTCAGACAGGACGGAGCTCACCCATTGTTAATCATCTCATTAATTAGGGGAATCCCTTTCTTGGCTAGTGATGCACGCATTAATCTGATGGTTACTGACACACCGAGACACTTGCTTAGAAGACACTTGTGATATTTAAATGGATTTCAAGTTTCACAAGAAGAAATGGACTTTACATCTGAACGGCACTTTCCTTTGGGTTCTGCTGTTTGAAAAAGCACCTCTTCTGATTCTGGAAAGATGCAACCGCTTCTTCTGCCCCTAGGCCTGCCTGCGCTCCTCCCACCCAGGACGCGCTGCCCTCTGCTGCCCTGCCCACCTGATCCACCAGCGGGCAGGTGCTTCCTTACAGGCTCCCCGGGCCCAGGCCCAGGCCCGCCACCCCGCCCTGCGTGCGCCCGCAGGGCCCGCAGCCTTAGGGAGGGCTCAGCCATTACCATGGGCGCATCACCACCTGAACTCCTCAGTCCCAGGGCGCTTACTCCTCAGACACAAGCCTGTTTTAGTGACTTAAGTACCACATTCGCGTCCAGCAGAAAAAGCAAATTTCACAAGAGGCTCCAGAGCCAAAATTACAGACACATGAATTATCTTTCAAATGCACTGACTTTACAATTTCTGCCTGTCAAGGCGGCTGCTTCAGCCTCCTGTAAGACCGAGCCCATGTACAGGACTGTGCCCGACTCGGTCACTTGAAAGGAAGCGCAACAGGACTCAGGCAGAGGTAACGTCCTCTCAGTTCCCAGCGCCACCCCTGGGGGCAGTGCCACAAGAGCCAGGCTCCTGGTGATCCGACACCAGGCCGGCCCTGCCAAGCAGCATTCCAATTTCCAAATGGGACTGAAGCTACAATTTCTCTTTAATTACATATGGGTTTGTCATCACAGCTCAGCAAATTATTTAAAAATTAGCACTGCAGATGCGCTCCAGCCACCCAGCAATCAGACTGATGTCCTGAGGTCTGACAGCTGAGACAGTCAGAGGGCCAAGTGCAGAGAACGTTCACAACACTTAACGGCAAGTTAACGGCAAGTTAAATTACCACTTTTATTGTCTGTGATTTCTTGAGAAAATAAATAGGTAATATGCTAGAAGGGATGGCAGCAGAGGATGCGTGCTTGCTGGGACACACGTACCCCCTCCTGCTCCAGAGAAACAAACACCCTCTTTCTCTGGCATAAACGTCCCGAGACAATGTGTCATTTACTGTCCCCGTGGCACATTCAACTGAATACAGTGCCTTCTTCAGAGAAGAAACAGAAAAACAAAATACTGGGTAGCAAGCCATACACTGTAAATGTGGCTAATGCGGCTGAACAGAGGTGTGGCAAGTGGCAAGAGGCCCGAGAATCATTTTTCTCTCCTGAGAATTGTTTTGGAGCTAAGGTAAGTGCTAACTAGGGCATAATTCAGACATTTTTCATATAGAAACATTGAGTCTTTCGCAGTGTCCAGGGAGGAAAGACCACTCTGCAAAGCGGACTGTTTAACCAGCAGCTTTGGAAGACCAGGAGACAGACCTCGATGGCCGCCTACTTCCTAATGGTCATCTTGCAAACTCCAGTGGCCAGTACAGAGAGAACCGCTTCTCACCCCCGGGAGGGTTCCCGGGCTCCTGTCACAGGCCATTCCTTAGCTGTAATAGGGAAAATCCTCTCCAAAGCTTCTGAGGAAGCTTGTTAAGGTTGCTCTAAGCTCCTAATATGAAAACAGTGATGACGCTGGTCAGCAAAACTCTGAGAGGAAGAAAATCATACCACGGGGACAGCAGAGGGAGCTCAACGCTATTTCTGTTGGGGACCCTAGAAGTTTGAGTGCCGAGCCCAACATTGACCTGATGCACCACTTTATGATCCCATGGATTACTTTTTCACCTAAGAAAAGCTAACACCAATCTTCACTCTACTAGAAAGATGAAAGATTCCCTCCTCCCCAGACTAAACTGAGTAATACCCACAGTGGTACCGCCACATGGCTTTTTGCTGTATTAGTGACGATACAGGGTTCCTCTAATTCACCGTCATCCCTTTAGCAGGAGCAAGTAACGCAGGCGCTTCAGACTTTCAATAAAACAAGAGTGTTCGCTGGTTCTTTTCACATACATATAGAGGGTGGCCCCAAAACAGTGTACACACACTTTGAATAATTACAAATGCAGTGTTTATTAAAATACATTTCATTTTCAAAACTGAGCTATCAGCTGTTAAAGTGTGTATACATTTTTGGGGGGATACCCTGTATATATCTTGAGAAAAGTTCCTGAATCATTCTATACTAACAAAAATATTTCCAGTAGTCACTTTTCTTTGAGGGAAAGAGAAGCAGAATTAAAAGGTAGGGCAAATTCATTTGCCTGCGGCTGGCCCTAAACACAGCAGCTTCATTTCTGTCTAACAACTATCTTTCCAACACTTTAGACATTAACACGGAGGGAGCAGATACATCACTAGACTGTGGGCACACTGAAAACTTATTGGGATTATTTTTTGTGTATGAGAGAAAACAGTTCTGACAATCATGCTGATGATAATAAAAGAGAATTAGCTGAGATTTCAATCTAAGCTGGCATTTCATTCTTCTCCCCAACGTCACCATTAAGAACCACAGATATTTATTCAACTGAATATTCTTTTATTTCCTGAAAAATATCCCATCTTTACGGCAGGAGACAGGTGACAGGCCAATGAGCTGTGAACGCACATGTCTGTGCTGAGACGTTCACCGCCCGTGACCCTCCGCCAGCCTTGGCCTTCAAAACTTACTGGGGCTTCCCGATGGCTTCGCAGGTTAACTCAAGCGCGTCCCCTTCCCGGGTTAGGCCTTGTAGAGGGTAAGTCATCTGAATGTGCACTTGAGGCTTATCTGTGTGACAGTAACACAAAGCACAATGTTTAGCAAAGGGTACCATCAGGCGCAGTCAGCCGCGGAGCCGCCAGCGCCCCGCGTCCCCGCACGCCCGCTCCCCACCCTCCTGCCCGCACTAACACCCTTCTAATTAGTTAGTAATCCTGGCATTTGCTCAAATTAAATTGACTAATAACTCTAAGGAGTGAACTGCGAATAGATAAGAGATTCATAAGCCAACTGCGCCATATCAAACATTTCCTGTGAAATACATTTTGTTACATTGAAGTTTATCTCCAGACTCACTCAAGCTAAAGGAAACTCATTTGCTTTCATGCTGAGGTGAAGCCACAGATATTTGTGGTGCTCGGAACTGATACATTTTATCATATATCATATATTACGATGTGACAATATGTTGTGACACTGCATATTAATAAGTTTGCCTTTTCTACGCTCTTGTTTTCAGATGGGAAAGGCAAAGCTTCCGCATTCTACTCAAACGGCTTTAAAAACAAAGAAACTGGAGGTCTTGGTGGCCCCTCATTAAACTCTGACTTCTCAAATGTAAACATATAAATAGGAAGGAAGGACAGTCTCCGGAGAGTCTACTATCTCGGAAACCATAATGGTTAGAGGAAGAAAACCCCAGTTTCAGGGATGAGAATCCTGGTGCCGAGAATGAAGTAGAAATAAACCTGAGAGACAGCCCCACAAAATGTATGCTGGGAGAAATTTCTGATTCAAAGCCGTATTTTCCAATAGCGACCCATTATTAAAACCCAGTGTGCAGGGAGTACTTAGGTAGGTGATCTACATATTCTTACTTCCACTAGCTACTTAAAACTGGGAGTCTGGGGGGTCTGGGTACTAGAGCTGAATGAGGGAGCAGGCAGGGAAGTGGGAAAGCTTGGAATTAAATACTCGTACAAATACACTTACCGATAAAACCTAGATGAAACTGAGGCTTTTTTTTTTTTTTCTGTCCTGAACTAACAAGCTATTAATCCCTAAGTCAGTTTCTCATTTAATTCTGTGACTCTGTAAATGTATATTTTTGAAAATGTTCCCAAGAGAAACGTGAGAGGGCAAGACATCAGTCGGCTGAAAGGTCAGAACAATTTCCATAACTTCCCTTTGTCAGACAATCACATCACCTAAACAACAGCCCTCTGGCCTTTTACAAGCAGTGGCCGGCTCCTTAACATTCATCCTATGGAGTAAGGGAGAGCAGAAGAGGGCAGGGCCCAGCGCTCAGCCGCCCAGCTCAGGAAGCTGCGCGGGGGAGTCTCCTCTAGGTTGGGGGCTTTCCACACGCACTGATGGTCTTCGCTCTCATCAGAGATCTTTCTATGACCGAAACCGCGTGGCCCGCAGAGCCTTCCCGAGCGTCCCGCCAGTGCGCGGCCCTGTGAGCGGGTGGAGCTTTCTGGGAGGCTCAGGCTCCTGCCAGAGAGCATAAGCTAACCGGCCTGGAGCTCCCGAGGACCCTGCAGGTAGCGCGGCTCTATTCGTAGGCTTGCTGGCAAAAGAAATGCTTAAGAGCAAATGGCAAAGAGGTTTCCAGACACTGACGACAGGGTGGGAAAGCAGTCATGAAAGAGCCGGACACACTGGATAGACAGGGTGACCCTGAGTGAGGGCTGGCTGCCGGGTAAAAGCAAGAGCTCTGGGCAGCTCCTCTGAGAGCCACGCTGCACCTTACGCTAAGTACCACCTCGGGGTGACTAAGTGGGCCTGTGGCTCTTGGTGGAATCACACACACACATATAGAGCTGGCTGGTGAAGCTTATGAAAAACACACAATACACAACAACAATCACAGAGACCACAAGAGCCTGCTCCCTTACAGTGACAGTCCTTCTCAAACAGCACCAGCTGGGGTTCCTGGTAGGGAGCCTCTGCCGCTCTTACCCAGGAACCACGCCGGGTGAAGCTAAATTTAAAGCCCAAAATTTGGGCTGAAATGTAACGTTTACTTACAGGTCAATCTCTGACTCACCGAAGGATACACTTTCCACGCACTGCTGACTTCAGCCCAGTAATTAAGAGGGAGCAGAGCTTGTGAGCCTATGAGGAAGACTTTTGGGGTTCCCCCCCCTTGTGTAATTTACAGCAAACAGAGAGGGTATATTTTTCAGCACAGCCACTAAGGGTGCTACATGCTCAACTTCCATTAATAATAAAGACAGTGCTGAAAATCTAGTCCACTCTGCCTTTTCAGTACAACTGCGCTTGTTTTGGTTAAATGTTTTCCTATGTTACTAATGGCTGTTTACCAGTTGTCAATTACTCACATAAATTAGGGTGAACAAACTATAAATCTGCTATACCTGGAACTTATGTTTAAAAAAATCATATCCTAAGCCACAGAAAATGCACCTTCATTTTTGGTATGTGATTTTCCTAATTTACGCTTCAGGTTTCTGGAGGAGCATCTACCATCTCCTTATGGGTACAGCTGCCACAGTTACCTTAATAGCCGAGTAAAAAGGCAAACATTCATCTTGCTTGTATTATACAGAAAAAATGTCTTCCTCTGTTGACAGATGCGGTGTTTCCAGGCATGTTATCTGACCGTGGGGCAGCGGGGCTCCTTCAAGCCCAGCTTAGGAGCCAGGCAGAAGGCCTGTGCGACAAGAGCCCTCCCCGAGTGAAGGGAAGTCACAGGCAAATCTGGTTCCCTGTCCTCACTGAAAGAGGAACGTACGTATTCTCAACAAGTGGACCAGAAGCCCTCGGAAAGCCCTCGGATTGCGCTGGCACCTCCAGAACCAGGGATGTTAAAATTCCCAGAAAGGTCCTGACTACAATCTGATGTCCACATACCGAGCAATCCAGACGGCTGACTGAACAGCCCAGACCTCATCGTTTATATATTAATTATGTCCATAAGTCATACGTTATAACCCACCAAATCTTTTCTGAAACAGAACCAGACTCCAAGATTATTTTTAAGTAATGGGGTAAGGCCCAGCCCACTTTCTGGTGACCCTTTTACACCTCGGCTGGTGTTGGGAGGCACAGGCTAAAAGCCAGAGGACACTCTCTGGCCAAGTGCAATAACTGTCCAGGAATGTAATGCTTGGAATGGCCTAAAGTCATCACAGAGTGGAGCTGCTGCTTAGAAGTAAGAAAAATAGTTAGGTCCTCCGCACTTCTGGAACGTTACAGTTACAGACACGGCACCACCAACAGCCAATAAATTAGGCCGAGGAGTGTGAGGTTTCCATTATACACAGCAATTTTTTTTTTAAACCCCATAAAAGACATTTAGCAAGAGCGCCATAGCATCAACATTCGTTCATCAGAGCTGCACAGAGGGTTAAACACTGAGAGGCTTTAGTCCCACTACAGTAGCAGCCAATTAAAAAATAACATTAGAAAGACACTCTGATTTGACGAGGCTTCGAATGTACTCTGCTCTCTCTATAAAGGGAATATGCACATATATAAAAGGAAACTCCTGAAGAGGTCAGAATGCCTGCTGGCAGATTACCATTGATTTCATGCCAGTCTGACCTTGCAGCACAGTCCATGATCTTTTCAGAAGACGAAACTCAAAACCCTGTAACCTGTATCTCACTCTCCTGCGTAAATGAAGTCAGTCCCCTTCTCTCTGGATCAACACCCATGTGTCAGGGCTTTACAGTTTTTATTTTAAAAAGTCCTCTGCAGCCTGGCCTAGGATTCAGGAGATCGTGGTTCAATTCCTAGTCAGGGCCCATGCCGGGGTTAAGGGCTCCATCCTCAGCAGGGGGCGTGCAGGAGGCAGCCGATCAATGACTCTCTCATCATTGATGTTTCTGTCTATCTCTTTCCCCCTCTCCCTTCCTCTCCCTGAAATCAATATATATTTTAAAAAATAATAAAATAATAAAATAAAAAGGTCCTCTGCAGTCTCCCTGGGATGCCACCACTCTCCTGTCCCACCAGAAAGTAGAGCTGAGGCCCGCGGGAGGCCTCCCTCAGTCCAGCAGGCCTGCCATCTCAGGACCCGAGCACCACCCTCTCCCTTAGATTTCTAGGTCCGGAATGTGGGCATCAAATGTTCCCCGATGGCTGCCTGAACTGGCCCCAAGGGCTTCAGTGCGAATCGGCTCCTGCCACTGCATTTGGGACTCGGGCTCTGCACATCCCTTACTTAGCTTCCATCCCATACTCAGGAATACCAGGGAAGGTGGGCTAGGTGCCTGCAACACAAGTGCTCATTGTCTCAGAGCCCAGCAGGGAGAACAAGGAGGCCAGAGTGTCAGGAACGGAACCCGAGGGTGCCACTGTGGTGCACGTGGCCAGGGGAGGGCCCCACTGAGGTACAGCTTGTGTGTGCAGGTAGGGACACACTGACCAAAGAGTCTCTGTCAATCATGGAGGATTACTGCAGCTTGGAGTAGGAGACAATGCAAAGACTAACCCGAGACTTGGTGAGTATTGGGGGCTACTTGTGCTCAAAGCAAGAATCGGCCCCTAAGTGTTTGGGAGAGGAGTCTGCACTGAGGGGACAGTGTCTGTAACGCAGGTGTGGGACTGGTCAGAGCAGGGCCACCCTGCGCTCTGCTCTCAGAGGCTTAGAGCACCCTGCAGAAGGCTTGCTTTCTCTGTCCTAGTACCTTCCTGAATACCCTTCACTGCATAGTAGTTTGTTTGCAAGGTGAGGGAACCCCTGATGCTACATCTGAGGTCTGCTAGGCTCCAGGGGGCTCCCGGGAGTGGGAGGGGTCTAACATGGCGACTGACGGGGAACAGCATGGCCCATCCCCGCGGCAGGACGCAGCTTCCTCTTGTTGCAACTTGCCGGTCTTTTGTAGATACTGAAATTACTGTTTACCCAGCAGAATCAGACTGTATTCTGTGATGGTGTGGCAGCTATGTTTCCGGTGCTCTGTGAACGGGTGCACACGCGCTACCTGGGAGAAATCTTCAAGATCTGAAATGAACACCGGGCAAGAAAATCCTATAGCAAGACTTCCTGCACAAGAACTCTAGCTCTATAAAAAGAAAATGTTTGGTTTTTGAAT